TTGCATTTAAAAATTTAAAAGTGTGACACCCAAGTAGCACATCTCAGTGCTCAGTTAGGGTGGGTTATGGTCGGTTAGGGTGGCTCTGGTCAGGTAAGGGGTTGCATTTAAAAATTTAAAAGTGTGACACCCAAATAGCACATCTCAGTGCTCAGTTAGTTAGGGTGGGTTATGGTCAGTTAAGGTGGCCAGTCTGCCATCCCTAAAAAAACCTCCCTCAGCTTTTTTCCCCTCCAAAATATTTTTATTGATTTCAGAGAGGAGGGGAGAAGGAAAGAGAGAGAAAGAAACATCAGTGATGAAAGAGAATCACTGATCGGCTAACTCCTGCATGCCCCCTACTAGGGATCGAGCCCGCAACCTGGGCATGTGCCCTCACTGGGAATCGAACCGTGTCCTCCTGGTTCATAGGTCAACACTTAACCACTGAGCCACACTGGCCGGCTCCCTCAGTTTTTAAGGCTCAAGTCTTCCGAATAATCTCTGAGTACAATTCTTCCTATTACAGTGAGAAACTACCTCTCAAGTTTAGCTCCTAATTTGACTTTAATGATTTCTTGGTGTTAGTAAGGTCTAGTGTAAGTAAAATATTCCTTAAAGGCAAATGTGTGTACTTATTTTTATATTTCTTCCAGCAGCCAGCACATGCCTGGAGTTCTTGGTAGGTTCTCTATAACCACCTATTAACTGGCAGGTTACAGGGAGGGAAGAAGAAAAGGAAAATCTGCCTCATTTATTGGAGGTGTGCAAACCATGTTACTGCTGCCCATCACCTACTTCAGCTTCTTGTCAAATTGTTCCATAGACACTAGGGGACGCTCTTGCACAATTTTCTTGGCTAAAGCCTTGAAGACTTGAAGAGTTAAAAAAAATCCTCTTATTTTTAGAATCTTATTGTTTTTAATTTCTTCTCAGAGGTCCATTTTTACCCCCTGGATCAAATGACTTTTATGACTTACCTTCTTAAATTTTATGAATTAAAAAAAACAAAAGCTTGTTGTTAATGCTTTTATGACCAGTATTCCCCTTAAGTTTGTTATTCAAAGTTCTTTTAAGCACCTTCAATAGTCAAGCAATAAAAATAGTTTTTTAAAAATATGATCTTTTCATATATTTTCCATGGCAGGCTAAAATAGAGGCAAAGATGAGCACCTTAAAAATAGATGTAGTAATAGTAAAACAAAAACCCAAACTAATAGTATAAAAAAGCTTCATTTGAATGTTTTTCCTGGTATATATACATGTGGGCTTGTGGGCCTGTGTTCCTAGCAACCAACAAAGAGTAGAAGGGGTGAGTGATCTCCAAGATCCCTTTGAAGAGATTTGGAATCACTACTATAAACCTTAGCAAAAGTTAGCCTAGTTCTTACCTGAAATTTTGCTCCTAATGGCTTTGCCAATATCCTGAATGAAAACAATCAAATGAATGCCCCAGATGTTGTTTGTAGAAAAGAGCAACAAATAGAATCATTGAACCAAATATCAAGAATAGAAAGATCTCCAAGGACTCAACTGGATCATGAATTTGAGACTAGAAATCTTACAGCTCTCAACTTGAACAGGGCCAGCGTGGGGCTGACCACCACACTTGGCATAAGCTGGGCTCTTGAAACCATTCTTCCCTGGCACTGTGAGCATCCCTCAGCCACGCAGGGCAGCACCGAAGGAAGACCCAGGTCCCGCCATGTGGGCGACCTTACGGTGTCGTGGGGAGAGAGCCAGCCTCACCTCATGGTAGCCATTGTAGTCCATGTTGCCTGGCAGTGGGAACCCTGGGGCCAGAGTCAGCTCTCCTTCAAGCATTTCCGGTTTAATGAATTCCTCCAGATACGTCCTGCAGAGTCTCCGGTCCCAGTCATCGGTGATATGGCCTCCATACATGATCTCTCCGAAGAGGTAACGCAAGTCATCGTAGGGGACCTGAGAGACAAGGGGAAGAGAGAATGGTCTTTGCACAGGCATGGGGCCAGCCTCGGGTGGGCAGAGCAGGAGCCACAAGGCAGGATGCGCCTTGAGATTAGGAGCAGTGTTTTATTCACCTGCGTACCCCGGTGCCCAGCAGAGTCAGGTACGTGTGGCAGCTCATTAAATGCTTGAAATATTACACCAACCGGTGACCAGAGGTAAGGTGCCAACCCCTTCATATTATACCTTCCCTCTTTCACAGTCATTTAATAGGCAGTGTAAAATGGAAGAAAATAAGGACCAGGATACTTTTTCTAATTTCCTGCCATTAATTAGCATATTAATTAACTCTCTCCTTTGAAAGGCCAAAGTGAATGAACGGTAGCAGGCTAGTTCACTGCTGTTGAAGTTAAGGAAGAAGCCTGTCCCCACCCCTTCTTAGGAAAAGCCTTGTCCAAGTGCAACAGCTGAAGACGGAGTTGTGGGGGGTGGGCCTCCCGGGTTCCGGAGCTGAAGGCAGAGGATGGCTCAGGGCATCTGGGCCTGGTTCCTTCCCACCAGGAAGGAGGAGGCCTTGTTGATGCTCAATTTGGTCTCTGAACCAGAAGAGCCTCGCTGGTGTGAACATGCCCTTACATGGAAGAGCATGGATTGTTGGTGTATGTTTTCTTTGAAATAGAAATGTCAGAGAATGGAGGGGACAAGGTGTAACAAGAATTTGGCTTCTTCAGCTTTGGTGAGACGGAGAATTCTGCGTCTTTGGCTAACTAATCTGGGAATTTGTATCAGGTGAGTGTGGGCCTCTTCTTGCTAATCTACAGTTCCCTGCAAAGCTGTGTGCACACGGGTGGTCCAGGCCCTGGAACAGACACTCCCGGGACTGACTCGCACCAGGCATGAGCCCAGGTTTGGTTTCTCAGCCTCACGCTGGTCCTGCGGGTGGCCCAGGGTTAAGCTCGCACTCCCTCCCCGCAGCTGGCCAGAACCTGTACCTTTGCGTTGGCCTCCAGGAAGTTGTAGAGCACGTGCACAGAGATGGTGAGGTCCCCAGTGTTGAAGGGGTAGGAGCGATTCCATCCCTGCGGCCCGAACTTTCGCCTCTCTGCCACCACCGCGTGGAAGTAACAGAGAGCAAAAAGGATGCTCTTGAACTCTGCCTCCCGCGAGCACGTCTCCAGGGTGTCCTGAAAGAAAAGGGTCACTTCCCTGTCAGCTCCTGCTCTGCAGGGCGGGGTGTGGGCCCTCGTGCCGGCCTTGCTCTGGATAAAGCTCCCACATGTCCCGTTAGGGTCTGACTACAGATTGCGCTGTGGCTAGGCCTGTGCTCAGGGTTGGAGGGGACCCTGCTGAGGGCTGTGCTTTCCTTTACGCAGCGGTTCTCAACCTGTGGGTCGCGACCCCTTTCACAGGGGTCGCCTAAGACCATCGGAAAACACATATATAATTCCATATTGTTTTTGTGATTAATCACTCTGCTTTAATTATGTTCAATTTGTAACAATGAAATTGGGGGTCACCACAACATGAGGAACTGTATTAAAGGGTCGTGGCATTAGGAAGGTTGAGAACCACTGCTTTAGAGTCTGAGTTAAGGTTTACATTCAGGTTACTGGTGGGTTTGGTTTATGGTGCAAGTTTGCGCATATGGCCGTGCTAATTAAGTTCTCAAGCATCGCTCATGGCAAACAGGGTAGTGGCCATGGGAGCGTCCCGTCTGTCCTATTCATGTCACTCTGTGCTGGGGTGTGGGGTGTGGGGGGGGGTGGGGGCGCTCATGGTATCATCTCTTCCCTTCCTGCCATGCTTTTCTTACCCATCACAGAGGGTCTGTAGGTGTGATTGCTGCCTGTGTGGCTGAGGGACCCCTGGCTCGCTGCCGGGGGAGCTGCTGCATGGAGGGAGGGTGGGAATCGCAGCCCCCACTCTCATTCCCCCCCCCCCCCCCCCCCCAGCAGGGGCCGTGGGCCACTGGCTGCAGCAACAAGAGCGCCCAGGGGTCCTGGCTGCAGAGCGCACAGCAGGCAGAAAAGGCGCGGCTCCTGAAGAGAGGATGGAGGGAGGGACAGACAGGACAGAGACGGAAGACAGTCCAGAGGGGGAGGCAGCGGAACTGTGCTGGTGGGTTTTAAGGGTGATGATGAAATAGTGTGGAGGGGATCCTGCGTTTTGAGGGGATGGTAGGGCGAGAACCCCTGGATTCTTTGGAATTAAAATTTTCTTCTGAGTGAGACCCTCTCTGGTCGGGAAGGAGCAAGAAGTTGCAGTTGGAGCCCAGGAGAGGCACTTCCAACGCTCAGGCAGATGGGCTGGTTCAGTCCTGCAGTTTCTTCTGAGGGTTGGTCCTAGGACTTCGCTCATGGGAGGAGCGGAGGAGACAGGACAGGCTAAGCTTCTGGCAGGTTTCCCATGGAAAACCCTCTTTCGGGGTCTGAGATTGAGAACCATTTTGTCGGGAAGATATAGATGTGAAAGGTCAGGGGTGGTTCAGAGGACAAAGGAACTGCTTCCTGCAAACAAAACCGTATTAACTGCTCTCCAGACAGGGCTGCTCTCAGCTTCCTCCGGTGCTTCTGGCACCTTTGAAACAATCGTCCTGCTGAGAAGTGCCTCTAGGCCCAGAGACAAGAAACCGCACAGGAAAAGCTGAAACTGGTTGACAGTGGCCACTCAAACGTCAGGATAAAATGATCAACCCAAACAGCAAGCTCCCGGGAAGCAGGAATAAAGTGGGGGTGGGGGTGGGGGTGCCTGGGCCGCTGCCCCAGGGCACTGGAAGGGCCGAAGGGCACAATTAAAATTAGTTTGAACAATGACGATCACCATAAACCTATCCCTCTTCCTCAGAATATGTTAATATGAAGATAGTTATGAATGGCCCAAAAACCAGTGGGGCAGGGACAGAATGAGCAGGAAAAGCCGGCATCTCTCAGGGTTGATGTCCCAGTTGTCTGATAACCAAGCTGACATGGGGCTTGCAGGGAGGTCAACCCACAACAGGGCCACGGGAGAGAGACGATGAACACAGGTGTGGCTGCAGGTGACAAACCCCCAAGGAGCCCCACTATTTTAACAGTAATTATTAGGAGATACAGCACGGGAGGCATCTGCTGCCTTCCTCCAGCTCTGTCCAAGACCCTCAAGGTGGAGAAACTGGGAATGGTCAGCCCCTGTATCCCTCGACAGCCAGCTGACTGCATCCTGGGCCTTTTATTTTTTTCCTAACTTATAACTATACTTATTTATTTATAATTAATATCACCCGAGGATATTTTTTCATTGATTTTTAGAAAGAGTGGAAGAGACAGGGAAAGACAGAAACATTGATGTGAGAGAAACACACCAATTGGTTGCCTCCCGCACGTGCCCCGACCAGGGCCCGGGTTGGGGAGGAGCCTGCCACCAAAGTACAAGTCCTTAACTGGAATCAAACCCGGGACCCATCAGTCTGCCGGCTGATGCTCTATCCCACCGTGGGCTAACTACGGCCCGTGGGGCCGGATCCGGCCGGTTTGAAATGAATAAAACTATTGAAAAAAAAGACCGTACCCTTTTATGTAATGATGTTTACTTTGAATTTATATTAGTTCACACAAACACTCCATCCATGCTTTTGTTCCGGCCCTCCGGTCCAGTTTAAGAACCCATTGTGGCCCTCAAGTCAAAAAGTTTGCCCACCCCTGCTCTATCCACTGAGCCAAACCGGCTAGGGCTGATTTTAAAAGTTGTGATCCAATATCCATAAACTTTACTGTCCTAACCACTTTGAAGTGCACAGTTGAGTGGCACCTTGTGTATTCCCCTTGCTGTACAGTCCAGGGCCATTCAGGGCAGTGCTGTCTTTGCCTGGAGGCAGCTGCAGCAGCCTATACAGAGGGCTGTGATTTCCAAGATAAGGGTGTTTATGTCCCCAGTGTGGAGTATAACTCTAACATTTAGAAGTTTTGACCTCTGATACAGAGTATCTAGGAGTTTAGTCAAGGCCTATTTAGGAAAAATAAGAAAAAGAAAATTCCCCTGCCAAGAGAACAAACTACTTTCTGCCCAGGTTGCAATGGGCACCCATTTTGTAACAAAACAGCAAGTTAATTGTCCTGGTCTCTTGGTCATGTCCCCCCATTCCTGTTCCAAATTTTGTGTGGGTTTCGGAGTTGGGCTGAGAAGGTGAATGAAAGAGGAGGAGACTGGACAAGTTTCACTTCTCAGGTTTTCATGGCAGCTTCCTTGCAAGGCTGGACTGCTGGGTTCGGACACCAGGAGGGACACAGTCACAGTATAATCTGAGTCTCTGACTGCCAAGTGGTCTTCATCTTATTTTGTGTTAAACCAGGCCCTTCCCTGAGGGCCCCTGGACCTGCTGGTTTGTGTTGGGCTAGAACAGACGTCCTCTCGGATGGTCTGTTTCAAGTTACAGAGATGACCCAACGGAGACTTGCGTGAGCTTTTGCCTGGGTCCCCTGAGTAGAGACCCACTGATGCTACTATGACCTCAGAGAGGGAAGCCTGCCCAGAACCACCCCTTGAGACTGGACTTGAAGGTGGCTTCCATGGCCCCACCCCGCTTCCCAGGAAGGTGGAACTCTCCAAGGTAGAAGCAGAAGAAAGGGTGCCTTCCTGAGAGGATGAAAGAGGCCTGAGCAGTGGACTTTGCAAGGACTACTTTATATATGGAGTGAGCCACACATGGGGTCGGCCTCGGTTTTTAATAAACACTCCATAACACGAGTCTTAGAATTCCCAGTCACACAAATTCCAGTACCATAGTAGCCAGCATTTGAAACTTTGCCTAGATATTCTTAATCTCATTGTAATACCGTGTTCTCAAAGTTGCGCAATAGAATCCCTGAAGAGCTTGTTAGAACACAGATGCCTGGGTCCCACCCAAATTTTCTGACTCAGGAGGCCTAGGTGGGGGCCTGAGAATTTGCATTTATAACAAGTTGATGCTGCTGTTCTGTAGGTCACACTTCAAGAGTCTAACACATGATTACATTCCAAGTCTAGATCCCACTACCTGACAATGACACAGGGTTTTTGTTTTTATAAAAATACATTTTTATTGATTTCAGAGAGGAAGGGAGAGGGAGAGAGAGAGAGAGCTAGAAACATCAATGATGAAAGAGAATCATTGATTGGCTGCCTCCTGCACGCCCCCTACTGGGGATCGAGCCTGCAACCTGGGCATGTGCCCTTGATTGGAATTGAACTCAGGACCCTTCAGTCCACAGGCCAATGCTCTATCCACTGAGCCAAACCATCTAGGGCTGACACAGGGTTTTTGGAAGACTTGATACTCAAGATGCATGCAGATATCAACTGTCATCATCTGAACCTGCCAACCTCCTGCTTGAAGAGCGTATGCTTAGCAACAAGTGTGTGACCCATATATCACATCAGTTAGGTTATAGCAACCTGCCACTTTCTGTCTTGGAATATTTATCGAACATGTGGACTTGCATAAGTTCCCCCAAACCTCTTGCCAAAGAAAGATCCCCAAGCTTGGTCCACCCAGGTGTACCTGGGAATTGAGAGCTAGGTTTTACTGAGTAGGCACAGGGTGGAGGTCAACCTCAAAGGGAGCACATTTTGCCCACATTGGACATTGCTCCATAGCCCAGCCGGTCCCTGACCGCACCCCCAGCTGCGTGCTCTATTCCCACCCAGTTGAATTGGCTCTTTGTGAGGTGGGTGCTTGTCCCCCCTCCTTCCCAGGGCCATACCTGAGTGAAGTTGTCCAGGGCCTTGTGCAGGTTGGCATGCATGCCCGTGGGAGGCTCGTTGGTGATTTTGATGGAGTTCTCCAGGATGCCCTGGGGGATGACGTGGCCCTCGGGGGAGGGCGCGGGCTCTGCACTGATGAAGACCCTGAACTCCGGGTGGCTGCTGGCACTCAGCTCCTCCAGCTTCTTCTCCAGGGTGCCCAGCCACTTGGCCACCAGGTGGATGTTCTGGTGGGAAGGGTGGACCCCCCAAACATAGGCGTTTGCTTAGTTCTGGTAGCAGTAAACATAGGAAAGCAGCTAGAGGGGGGACCTGACCTTAGTTTCAAATACATCACCTGCAGTATGAGTGTTGGCATTCCCAGTTCTGGGGACCTCCTGGCATCCTGCAGTGGAACCCTTGCCCTTGCTATCCTGTCTCTCTAGCACAGTGTTCTCCAACTGGACTCAGCATCAGAGTCCCCTGGAGGGATTGTTGAAACAAAGGTTCTTGGATGCTTCTCCCCCCTGCTTGCCCCTTCCCCCGAGTTTCCGATTCAGTGGGTCTAGTGTGGGGCCCAAGGATTTGCATCTCTAGTAAGTTCCCAGGTGATGCTGCTGCTGCTGGTCAGGGCCACCCTTCAAGAGTCTAACACATGACTAAGTTACAAGTCCAGACCTGCTATCTGACTCCTGGATCCCTGAACTCCTAATGCCCTAAAGCAGGGCGGGAAGTGTCTACCCGTGGGTTGTATAAGGCTCACAAAATCACTTGGCCTGGCCCTGCCAAGGCATTAGGGGGAGTTAATAAAATGTTTAACCAAATATAACAGGCTAGTTTTTAAGTTGATAATTTTGTATGGTCTGAGAATCCTATGTAATAAAAGGCTAATATACAAATTGATTGAAACATGGAACTACCAGTTGCTATGATGTGCACTGACCACCAGGGGGAAGACAATGCGGGAGCTTTCCTCTGATGGTCAGTGTGCTCCCACAGTGGGAGCACTGCTCGCTTGGCCAGAAGCCTGGCTCATGGCTGGCAGACATCTCTCAAGGGGTCCCAGACTGTGAGAGGGCGCAAGCTGGGCTGAGGGACCCCCCCGCCCCCCATCCAGTGCATGAATATCGTGCACTGGGCCTCTAGTGATGTTATAAATATCCAAATGTCCCTTGGCAGAAAAATGGTTCCCCACTCCGGTTCTAAAGTGAGGCCCACGGACCAGCAACGTGGGCGTCACCAAGGGGCTGGTTAGAAATGCAGATGCTGAGGCCCCACCCAGACTTACTGCATCAGCACATTTTAATAAGATCCCCCAGCAATTTGCATGTCTGATAAAATGTGAAGAGCAATGATTTAAACTCCTCCTAGCTAGCTCTCCTAACTCCTTCTCCCTCTCTCCAAACCGCTCTGCTAATTGTTAGCAAACTCACCTTCCTACCTGTCACTGCTGCTCACAGAGGCTCCCTGCTCCCAGCCCGAGCTCCTCTGTCATGTCTGTGTGCGCCTCGCCTCCTCCCACTGTGATTCCTATCTGTCTCTCTCTAAACCTACATTTATTTCTTAGTTCTACTTGCAGAAGGCAGCACCCTTCACTTTAGGAGTAAAAACAGTGGCTTTGCTTCATTGCAGGAGGTTTCACTCTGATGGCTAATCCACACTCCTCGCCAGGTATTCAGAGCCTGCTCACAGAGCCTGCTCACGGAGCCTGCTCACAGAGCCGCCGTGGACAGGGTGGCACTGAGCTCAGTACTTAGGCCACAGCAATCTGGTCTCTTGCCGCCTCTTCCAGAAAAATGAACTAACCACAATATTTATTTCATGTATTTCACAGAGTTGCTACAAATAACCAAAGGTAATGGATTCGAAAGGTTGGTGACCAGAAAATATGTTCAATTAAAATTTCATTTGTAATCTCTCTTTTGGAGTGGAAACGTTAGCGGCTGCCCAGAGAGCAAGGGTTCTGTCAGCCAGGAAGAGCCAGCGACCAGGGAGTGTTCCTTCTTCAGGAGCTCTGACTTTGGAGTTTAACCTTCTCTCTCGGAAAGCACCTGGGCACAAGATGTGGGGCCCGGGCAGCCGGTGGGTTCTGGGGAGGAAACTCCTTGTGCGTTGGCTGAGGGCTGGGTTGTCGGGGCACCAGGGCCTGGGAGGGTGTCTCTTTGGCACCAGGCTGCCCCATGTGGGAGGGAGCAGCTGTTGGCATCCTTCCCCCTGGGAATCCCACTGTTTCTACAGAAAGAGTCCCAGGGAATGGCTGGTCCCTCAGTTGCTAGGCTCTGGATCAATAACAGGATCCTTGAGGGTGAAGACCCAGCAGCAAGAAGCAGGGCAGTGAATGGCGAGGAGACGGGAAGTTCTTGGCAGGCGAAGCCAGGGCAGGATGAGAGTGCCTGGCTTTTTCATTTAGTTTTTCTTCCATTGATTTCTTCATTGAGTGCTTTAGTTGAGTGTCTACTATGTTCACAGTAATGTGCTGGGGGCTAAAAGGTAAATAAGAAACATCTTCCCCTCAAGAAACGTAGGGAAGGACATACCCATACATTCAATCATAGCAACGTAGCCTGGGGTGTGCTAACAGAGGCGGCTGTAGGTTGTTACCAGAGAAAAAGAGGGGCAAGGTCCTGGGGTGGCCCCCGCCCCAGCGTCCATAGGAGCCGCATAACAAAGGAATAAGAGGCCAGGCCGTGAGAGGAGAGGGCGGCCTTTGTTTCTTGTCAGCGTTTAGTGGAATTCCTAGTAGTGGGTCCAGGTTTCCAAACCTTAAGTGAACTCTCAACGAGGAGGCTAAGTTCTAGTGACACATGTATTGTCTGGTCATTCATGTAACAGAGAACGTAAAACACACATGACAGAAAAAGACATCAAGGACGTTCCATGGAACGCACGGGAAGAGATGAGGAGCCACCAAAATCCCGGCACGGCCTTCAACCGAGTGCCAACTCCCCACGCATGGAGGTGGGGACCGGCTTCCATTTGTGAGCAGAGAAATTGTAACCAGTGGCGACAGCAGGTGGAAACACGGAGAACAATTGTCGGAGAAAAATGACTGGGCATGGGGTAAGGAAGAGCACGCACGAGAGAGAATTGGAGAGGCGATTAGGAAGTGCGTGAAGGGGGCACGGGTGTGGAAGGAGAGGCCGGTGAGAGGAGAAGAGAGGAAAGAGATGCCCAGAGACTGTGATGTGAGGTCCAGATGGGTGGGGGTCAAGAAGGACCCTGATCAGGGGGCACGTACCTGCAAAATGACCCAGTGGCCTTTCTTCGCAGCGAGATCCAGCGCGGCCTCGGCCACCACCTCCTGTCCTTGTCCCAAAGATACGTTGTGAAAGTTCCGATTGTTGAAGGTGTATCCGAGTTTTTTACCTAGAAGGAGTGTGGAGTTGTCATTACCATCTCTGTGTCTGATGATCCGTGCTGTGTCATGTTCAGCAGTGAGCCACACCTCCACATCACTCCCCACACTCAGGTGTGCCTGGACCCACACCCTGAGCCTCATAGGCTGACCCTTTCCTTCATGGAGGGGTGTTTCTCAGCATCAGCAGTGGTTCTCCACCTTCCTAATGCCGCGACCCTTTAATACAGTTCCTCATATTGTGGTGACGCTCAACCATAAAATTATTTTCGTTGCTACTTCATAACTGTAATTTTGCTACTGTCATGAATCATAATGTAAATATCTGATATGCAGGATGTATTTTCAGGGGTCGCGACCCACAGGTTGAGAACCCCTGAAGGGTTCAGGAATCTGGAGAAGGGGTTGCGAGTAAATTAATAAAGAGACTAGACATGAAATATAAATTTGGAAGGCATTTTGGGGAGCCAGGGGAGACCTAGCTTCAGTAACCAAGTTCTCTCTGAATCTCTGGACCCCTAGCTTTTTATTAACACAAATTGCCCTAAAGCAAAGCAGATATACATATCAAAGGTTAAGGTTTGATATACTGTAAGCGGCTGTCTGGCAGCAGGCAATCATATGTATCTTCAGGTTTGAGGCAATGCCTACAGCTGTTCAGCTGTTTGGCCAGCAGCAGGTAATATGTAGATTTTCAGGTTTGGGGAAAAGCTTTCAGCTATTCCAGCAGGCAATAATATGATTCAACCCTGCTGAATATAGAAGCCCATCAACCTTTTGAGGGCTTCTTGCATTTTATTATGCCCTGCTGGAATCAGCTTCTAGCAGGGCTACGCCTACCAGCTTTCAGTTCCCAGGTAGAAGGAAGCACATCACCTAAATGCATCACCCGCCTCCTCACTGAATCCCCCGTGCTTTTCTGCACAGCCTCCATTTGAAGGCCGTGGCCTTGGCTCACTGGCCTGGAGAGTGCTGATGTGAGAAGGCTCAAAGGGTAGCAAGCATGTGGGTGGCTCTAACTTGCTTTGTCCTCTGCATATATATTTCCCTGGAGTTTTCCTGGGATGTGTGGCCAGCAGGGGCAGAATTCAGGTCGTTCTGGCTTACCATACTTTCCGCTGTGTCTGCTTTC